GTATATTAAAAACTAGACGTGCTAGATAAAATAAGAGTACCCGCATTGGAATATCAGGAGGCATACTTCTTTTTACAGGGTGTAGTGGTGTATTCTATTTGAGATTTGAAAAAGAGAGACTTTAGAAGCATATATATAAGAAGCTCGTCTTAACGAGGCAAGGTTATGGAGGATGGAGCCGTTAGTGCCCCACCCGTTCCCTTCGGGCGCTCGCCCACCCCCTCCAAAAAATCAACCAAATCCACCAAAATCTCCCCTTAATCCCACCAAAATCCATCTTCCAGCTACGGATCCGCCCCCACCTCTTCCTGATCTACCATCTGGTGGGTCGTTTTGCTCCGGTCATGGCTGCAGTTGGGGTGGCGATTCCTCTCCGGCGTGCAGCCGGAGGCCGCCGCCGGCCGAGCCGCCTTCACCGGGTGCGGGCGGTGCTGTGGCTGCCGAAGCTGCGGGTGTGGATGCTGGCACGTCCACCCAGTCGCCCGGGATGGTGGAGCTCGGATCCCGTACAGGAGAACCCAGCGACGGCGGATCCGTGCCAACCAGCGACGCAGTTTATGGCTGTGGTGGGGATGGCGCTTCCATTCCGGAGGGCAGCCGGCGGCCACTGCCGGCAGAGCCTTCGACTCCCGGTTCCGCCCCGAGCTCGAGCTCAGCATGTCCAGTTCGATGCCTCATCCATGGACTCTTCTGGTGACGAGGCGTCTGATGGTTGCGCCTCCCCTTTCTTCCACCCTCTGTGGAAGGGGAAGGGCAAGATGCAGGCGGCCATAGATGCGCGGCCTCCTCCGCGTTGTGGTGGCTTCATGGCCGCCACCGCCGCCCGTCCGCCATGGTAGCTACCGGCCCTGCTCTGGTGTCTGCTGCGCTGCAACGGTTGTTCGATCGCAGCGCGTGCAGTCCATCATTGTCGGACCTTCGCTATCCCAGGCGGCTGAGTCTGGAGCAACCAAGCATCGGTGTCGTCGTAGTCGAGCCCGGCGGCGTCCCCAACGCCACCAGGATGACAAGTCGTCCTCCCGTAGACGCATCCCTGTGCGCCAGCGTTTGGGGCTTCGTATCGCCCCGCCCGACGAAGGCATCGCCGCGGCCTCAGGGCAGAGGGCTCCCGTGCATAGGTGGCTTGGCCCCTTCCGAAGGGCCTCCTCGCGGATCGTGATGGGTGGCAAGAGGTGCTGCCCCATCAGGGCGTCGCAGCCTCGCAGCACCACCGTCAGGTTCAGTAGGTCATTGGTTGGCGCTTCCCCGACGAGCTCCGGGGCCGGTGTCTCAATTGCCTATCCTAGACACACCGCGTGGCGACATGCTGCCTCCCATGCCGGTGCCTACTATGCAATGGTTTGGGCCACCTGGCCCGTGCCTGTAAGCGTCCGCAAACGGTTCCTGCTCTAGGGGTTGGCAACGGGAGCCGCCGGCATCGTCGCTTGGGCACGCAGGCTGGTCGTCGACTACAGCCACCTGCCCACGTCGGTCCGATGGAGTCGGGTGGGGATATGCATGTGCCGTCAGCCGGTACGCCTGTTGGCCGAGGCCGTCGACGCCGACGCAAGAGGCGCCCAAGACGGCCACAGGAAGGCACCGACGCCCCCTCCACCAATGCTGCGGCCGACCTCGTGCCAGCCAGCAGGACGTGCCTTCCTTGGGTTCACCCATTGACACCACAGGAAGGCACCAACGCCCCCTCCACCGATGCTACGGCCGACCTCGTCGTGCCAGCCAGCGGGACGTGCCTTCCTTGGGTTGACCCGTTGATGCTGTTTGTTTGGCCTCACGACGTCCTCCCTGTTCGCGATGCCACGGATGACCCGATGCTCGAGGAGTTGGTAGCCTCGATCGCCCCCAGACGGATCGACCCGCAGTTGGTCGTCTTGGAGGAGCCTTCGGGTGTGGGGGTCCCAGCAGGAGGGTCGCTCCTTCCAGCGCAGCTTTGTGCTGGCCCATCTCACTTGGCCCCTTCTTCGGACGAGGAACACTCGGACCACGCGAGGACGCCGTCCAGAGTTCCATCCCCGCCTGTGGCATTGTCGCCCATGGGCGCGGCAGCGGCTGTGGCGCCAGCTCCGGTGTCACCAAGTGGCATCTCGCAGTATCTACAGTCGTAGCTTTGCTCTGCCATCACGGAGCCGATCTTGGTCGAACCTCCACGTCTCCGTGTTCCTAGGAGGCGTCGTGCGGTTGAATGCACATTCTCACCGCCACGTCATAGCGGGAGGCTTGCGACCAAGAGCAGATGCAGAGCCTCCAACCCGACCGTGCAAGCCTAGAACGTGATGATGGCAAAATGGGGACTCCGCCAGCAGGATCAGGCGCCGCAGGCAGATGCAGAGGGTGATTTCGATAAGTACATGGCCGTATTCGGCGAGCCTCTCTCGGAGTCCAAGCGCGAGGCAATCAGGATGCTCTTCCCGGCAGGATGCGCGATTGAGGGCATCCAGCTGGTGGAGGGGGTTGACCTCGAGGTTTAGCCTACCTTGGGGTACCCGCTCTAGGTCGTCCAATCGTTGCCTATGGCCTAGTTTACTAGCTCGCTGTACCTTAGCCCGTTGTTGCTTTTAGTTCCTCTTGTGGTAGTAGCCGGGCTTCGTCGTAGTTTTCTTCAGTTTTTCGCTTCGCTTTTTTCTTCCTTCTCCTCGCCTAGGAAACCTTTGGTTATCTAGTGTTGAGCCATTTGTTGTTTGGTTCGGTGTTGTCTACTTCCTTTTAATGAAATACGTGCTACACGGCACGTTCGAGAAAAAAGAAGCATATATAATCCATTTCACCATGAATCTCTTTTTTTTGAAACAAACCTCCTCAGATTTTATTATTCAATAACAGTAGGTTCAGTAGAGCCGCGAACCACTAAGTCGATTACAAAGCTGGGGAGGGGATCCACCCAAACATGGGTATATGACCAATACAAAGTAGATATCTCGTTAAAAAGATCTACTGAATATGGATCTATTGAATATGGATATATATAATCCATTTCACCATGAAGTTTTTATCTTAAGTTAAACTTCTTTAGTTTTGACCATCAACTATTAAAAGTTATATAGATTGATAACATGAGGATGGTATTGATATATTCATCATGTGACATATTTTCAGGGAAAAACACCCTGAATTTGTAAGGCAGCCAGTGTGTTGCGAACATGGTTGTCCCTATTTTTGAGTAACACATATATTAATTGTGATGCCATAATGTGATCGTGACGTGCCCGTCGCCTACGAAATATGTGGATTTCGGTGATCTAGAGATGGACACGGTCTTCAAATCTGAGTATAGTTATAGGTTTGTTTGCACACGGGTGGTGTGAGTAGTGTGCGTGTGTTGTGTGGGCGTACGTGTGTACGAACAGATGCTATATAACTGTATCTAGATGAGAGGCAATAAAAAACACATATATTAATTAGTTGTTGGGAGGAATTAGCATATTCAATATGTAATTATTGATACTCCCTCTTATTCAAAATACGAGCCCTCTTAACTTCTCTCAAATACATGTTGTCTTAGAATTTATATGAATTTCGTTGTTTCCTTCCTTTCTTACCCTTGCTTAAGAAATGCCATCAGTCTCACAAAAGGAAATATGGCACATATCTTTATTGAATTTAGGTTCTTTATTTCCAATGGGCTATAACAAGGTCTTTCAATTGACTTTCTTATTCATTATCGTGACACTCGAGAGGGTAAATACTATGCAATTCTAGAATAGTGTAAGTTAAACCCTCTTAATTTTGTAAAAAAATGCTAATATTTATTGCATTAAATATATATTATTAGATTCGATATGGAATATATTTTCATTGTGTATATATATTTAAACCCATAAATACTGATACTATTTTGTTGAAGTTAAGATACTTTGACTTAGAATTGCATTTTTTCGGAACAGAGGGAGTGGGAGTATTCACCCTGCTCGTCAGCATATTTTTCAGCGAACGAACAATATTTTTCTCTCACAATAAATCAGCATAAATATCAACATAAGCCAAATTTCAGCCAAGCGAGCAGAGATTATACAACAGCCCCTGATGACGTGTCTTACAGTTGTTGCTTCTTCTCCTTCCTCCCATGGCGTGGAGTACTATGAATAGGAACAGTACACATGTAGGAACGAGTACGGCGGATTGAGAGTGGAATTGGCAATTTGGCATGGACATCACCATCTGCTCAGGACGTAATGCAAATAACATGGCAGAGCAGCAGAGATTTATGTGGTAGCAACAACTTTTTTTTTTAGGATTATAAAGTATAACGCAGACGTCCACAACACGCACGTACACTCACCCCTATGAACACACGTACGTAAGCACCTCCGAAGAATTGAGCCGACAGATCGTCGAGATTCACGAAGTCACCACAGGTGCCTCGCTGTCGACGGGGTATATTCATTATAACCTATATATTCATTCTGGGATTCATCATCCCATCTCATCATCTTCAAGATACATATACATATACATATACATATACTACAGGAAGCAATGCAGGGGCAACGGTAAGTAATGCAGCAAAGTCCGTCGGTCGGCAGCAACCAACATGCATGAAGGCATCCACATCCGCACAGACACAGTAGTGTGAACAGTCACACGCCCCCAACCAACCAATTCATCAATTTCGATGTAGTCGTCCCTGGAAATACAGAACCAAGGTACCAAGGACATACGTACATACATAAGTGGTTTATTATATGTATGTATCCGTCAGTCAGAATGAACATCAGGATAGAGAGCCGGCCGGGTTATTATGTTGCATTCCTTCCTCAACTAATTGGCAAGGTAACTATATTCATTAGATTAGCTGAGTACTAGTACTAGACGACACATTGGGAAATGGAGCAGCAAAACAAAAGGATTCAGCACTGCACTGCCCGCCGTTGAATCCATCCATCCTTCCTTTCCTTCTTCAGAATCAGGACAGCAGAAAAACCTGATGCTTGCTGCTGCTGAACTAAGCAACCAAATGTGCGTCTCTGCTCACATCTTGCTTAATTGATGTCTTGATGAGCATTAGCTTACAGCTCCAACACCACAACTGCAGGTGAGGTGACAGTAGTGCATATCACATGCATGTTCAGCTACATAGACAAATATATAAACAATGCAGACACAACTCACAGTCTGAATCGGTGGTGATCCACTGCGCAGTCCTGCAGCTGCAGGCCTCCTCCTCCTCCTCTCCTTCCATGTTCTTCAAGCTCTTTGGGCTGCCGCCGCCATACAACATACTCTGCTGGCTCATGGATGACAGCCTTGACATGCAGTAGTATTTCCTCAATGGCGTCAGCAGCGTCTGCTCCGAGGCCTTTGCCGGCGCTGACATCAACGACAACGGTGAATACGCAACCGACGATGACGAGGAGCAGCTGCCCACGTCCCACTTGAAGCTCAGCTTGCCCGAGCTGCAGCTTATCTCGTCGCTCGCCACCTGCTGCTTCTTCTGTTGCTGTTGCCGCCCTCCCTTTGAGGCTGTTGTGGCTGCAGCGCTGTCCCTTGCGTGGAAGCTCAGAACCTTCTGCAAAACACATTTGATTCCAACATATAAACATTTATGTATTTGCTACATCAAAATCTTCGAATCTTGATTTAGTTCCTAAACTGAGTCCAGGGTGTGTGCTATACAGCTAAACAAACTACTATTAACCTATGAAAGGGGGCAGAAGTAAGATCAAAGGACCACATATATATATATACCTTCCATCAAAGGACCACATATATATATATACCTTCCATTTCTTTCCACTGACAGTGGCGCTGTGAGGCCTGGCCTGGGCAGCCCGTTTCAGAAGCTCCTTAACCCGCGCAACTGCCTTCTTGCCATCAATCCTATGCACCATCTTCTTCATTGCACTGTCAACAATGCCATGCTCATTGAAGATCGGCAACACTTTGCAGCCAATCACCACAGTGCCGGTAGGCTCAGCAATGTGCCCCATCCTAATGCCACCTCAGGGCAGAGGCTTGTTGCTGCAACCCCAGACACCTCACTTTCATTGCATCTCCTGCGTATGGGCAGTCTTTATAAGGATTTGTTACAAGCATAGGCAGGTCGTTTGGTTAGGCAATCAACGGTTGAGATCAAACTAGCGGGGATTAACCAACGCTTGGGGTCATATCAGACATGGGGATCCCAAGAGATGAATCGGTATCATCTATCATATGATTGTAGCAACATGGTGGGCAACGCCAACATGCTAAGCTGGAATTTGCCTTAGTTAAACATCACATGTGGAGACAGAATAATATCACAATGGATGTTCTGGTTGTAACAAGTATAAGAATCTTGATTAGGTGCGTGCAGTTGCGGTCAAAGTCGAACGCTACTACTACAAGGCCAGCAGCATTTTAGATCTCCTCGACCAACTTGCCTATTTGTTTAGCAGTTTAAGTGAAAGGATTAGATAGAAGCTGTGTCATCACACTAGCTAGATGCAGGGTTGATTATTGAAGCAATGGGGGCAAAGACACATGAGATGAATATGGGCATGAATGATTAGTTGGAACGCTGTCCTTTGCGCTGCTTAGGTTGGCCATGTGATGCATACAAACGAATGGTGTCCCTGGGCTACGGCATGTTACTGTGTACTGACATACTGTAGGAGAAGCCTTCTTTTTTTAATGGTATACTTCTGTACCTCCTGTCTCACCAGCTATTTTATCTCGAGGCTACAACAACAACTGTATGTTATATATATAGTATTTGCTATTTACCATGCATAATGCGTAGTATTGAACTAAACGTTCCATGAGAGTTCATGGGTTGAAAAACAAGAGAGATACACAAAGTCTATAGCTTGTGTTGCAAATAGCCGCAGAAAGACTGACTTGTTTTAACATTAAAAGTACTTTTTAACATTAAAATTACATAATGTCACCAAAAGCATAGCCCAAACTTCGCCCAAGAAATGGAAAAGGAGCAGCTCTCGAAATAAAATGTTTCAGACATTTCAGTTGAATAAGAATTGCATTGCCAACCAATGCATATCCTGGACAGTTTCTCACCAGAGAAACACGGTGGCTCATGGGCTGAGGCAATCTGGCACATTAATGTTAGCTACACATGAATCTATTACATATAGTTCAGGTTGTGGAAATGGTTTTCTGCTAGAGTTAGCCAGAATTGCAGAAGATCTGCAGCATGGGGACACCTGTCCATAAGTGACATTATGCTCGGCAATGTACTCTAATCTCACTGTCCATGATAGAGCACCAGAAGTCCCCCAAAAGGAAAAAAGATACCAAGACATGACTGATGTGATCCAAAACGACCAAAATTTGTGAACAGCATTTTCTCGACATCTAGTTATGGTACCAACGTGTTGTGTATTCGGCATACCACAACGTAGTGATGCGGTGCGGTGGACTCAGCTTGGCTATTAAAATATTATTTATGCCCCTTCCCTTGTCATTTTCATATCAAAATAGTGACACACTGTCTGTGTTTGTAGTTTGTTCCAGAATAACAAGATCATGGAAGTCGCTACCAACAAAGTGATGTGATCCACATGCTGCATAACCATCTAGTCAACTTGGTTTGTCATCTGGTTTTCCATTTCACATCTGAACTTTTATGTGGTCTAGTGACATGGAAATCAGAACCATAAAACAAGTGCAACAATGTGATTTGTGTTACTGGATTCTTCACTTTTATTCTTCCAGAAAGGCCGTCCTAATTTCCAAGAACTTTTGGAAACCTCTGATTGCAAAACAAATTTAGCGTTTAGACATATGCCACCACATCATCCAAATTTGTTTGGTTCCCTCAAGTACAGAGTAACATCAACAGTTACGGTAACAGGTTCCTGGTTGGTTAAATGCCATATTCCCATGGCATAAAAGAATTTTAGAACCGACATTCACATAAGGATGGAATAAATGACCAAAGGAGAGAGATAACAAGGGATATCATCTTAACTCAACCTTATCTGAATCTATAAATCAATTAGAAAATGGAAAACGGGATCAATTTTTCCAACAAAACAGATATTCCGATAATTGCAGAATGATGTGAGCCCCTAAGGAAACCAAGCTAGATTAAGCCTTGTAATGAACCTTGAAACTTTCACGAAACAATTAAAATAATTTCTAAAATTCAGTAACAATTTGCTGAGCAAACTTACTTCAACATGAAGCACCAAAACTACCAACCATAGAGCAGAACCATCAAGCAACTTTATGGTTTCCTTTCTCTTAAACTTATTGAAATGTTCCACAAGGGCAAATGAAATCTGCAAGCATGAAACCTGAAACAATGATAACCACCAAACTCTCACATACAAATGTATTTGCTATCCTTTTTATCAACAAGAAGTACACTTTGGGCTGACTTTCATTATTATACATCCAATTTATATGTTTACAGAAAACTTAACACATCTGCTTACAGATATATCTCAAATGTCAACACTATCCATAAGAATTTAGTGTCTATGTGTACAATATAACAAAGCCACAACCTCACAAATCTACTATGCTCAGGTTCATGCTTCTTCAGCTTGCCGCATGAGTTCCAGAATGCTAGAAGCTTTTCTCTTTGCACGTTCTGTGCCAGAATCTGACAGTTCCTTGAGTGCATCCTCAGCTCCAGCAGCCTTTGCAGCCCTTGTTTGCTCAACATCAGTGCAACAAAGTGACCACAGAACAGCTGCAGCATTCTCTCTGTTGCGAGGAGACCCAGTTTTAATCACCTCCACAAGTGGCGGGATGGGATCTGATTGCGCAATTACAGCCTTGGCTTCAGGGTTACCAGCAAGAATAGCCAGAAGTGTGAGTGCCTCATCAATCATTCCCCCAGTAGGATCCACCAAGAAGTTCATCAGATGGATAACGATTCCAGCTTTCACTGCTCGTATCTTATTTCCCTGGTATATGCACAGATTAAAAATTGCCGTCGCAGCATCTTTCTTCCCTCTTGGGCTCCCATCGCACAGAAGATTAATGAGTGGAGGTATTGCGCCAGCGCCACCAATTGTAACCTTGTTTTCATCTACAACTGACAAGCTAAATAATGTGGCTGCTGCGTTCTCTCTAGCTTCCATGCTCCCAGTTTTGAGCACTTCCACAATCTTAGGGATAGCATGAGAGCTTACAATGCTTGCCTTGTTGTTCTCATGGATAGAGAGGTTAAGGAGCGCTGTGACAGAATGTTCCTGCGTTCTTGGATCTGAAGAGGAAAGTAGATTGACTAGCAAGGGGATTGCTCCTGCTTCAGCAATGCATATCCGGTTGTTGACATTTCTCTTTGCAAGCAAACGGATCTCACCAGCAGCTGCACGTTGCTCATCTTGGCTGCCACTCCTCAGCCTGTTCATTAGGGAGACTAAACCAGCATGGTCGTAGTCAGAGCTTTTTGCTGCTTTCTTATCTCGGGAGTTTGCCTTGTTCTTTGGAAGCTCAATGCCATTGGCTTCACACCACTGTGCTATTAGGCTTTTTAGGACAAAGTTTGGTGTCAGCGATGTATGGGAGAGGAGCTGCTGCGTCTTAGGGCATGTCTTGTGTCCAGAATCAAGCCATTTCTGGATGCAAGATCGCTCATAAGTCTGAATAGATAAGACAAGAGAGATTTCATTAAAACAAATGTACCTAAGGAGTAGAGTAGTGGTTACAACTTTGCATTATGGAATGTGTACCTGCCCGCTGGAAACGATGACAGGGTCTTGCATGAGCTCAAGGGATATTGGGCATCTGAACTCATCAGGGATGATAGGAGATGTATGCTTTATGGAGGCAGACCTGGTGCTGGGCGTCTCTGTGGTGGGAGCTTCAGTGACGACGCAGTCTTTAAGCTTCTTGAGCAAGGAAGACATCTCCTCGACACAGCCATCAGGTTCGCCGCCACTAGAGATGACCATCTCATGCTGGGCGAGGGATTCTTTCTTGATATCGGCCATGGTGTGCAGTTGCAGCTTATCTGAGATCCTCGTCAAGACCCGAGGGTCAAAGGCCTTGTCAGCAAGAGCAGAGCATATATCCTTGGACAGCTGTGCGTCTGGTGGAGCAGCTGTGGTTGCAGCCCTTTTGAACTGAGAATGCACAAGATCGACCTGGACAGGTGGACGTCAGTGCAGTGCATAGCAGGTGATGGGTTCAATTTATCTATCAGGATTGTGGAGGGGTTTGAGTTGGTACCTGCTCCAGCACTTCTTCAGGCATGTCGAAGGTTTGGTAGGGCAAGGCATCCAAGGCCAGGTGAATGTGCCTGTTGACAGTTGCAAAGCGTTGGAGCACGGCATCCCCTTGCATGGCCTGGTTCGTTCATGATCATGATTCAATGTTCATGGGTTGGTTGGAATTGGATTCAGAATCCTGGGAACCCCTAATAATAATAATCCTTATACTGCCCCTAGGTCCTAGTAGAAAAATGAAGGAGCAAGCAAGGCGGCAAGGCAGCGCACCTGGTAGATCTTGCTGCCGTCGTGAACTGCGCGGAGGAGGTCGCGCGCGGCACCCAGCGCGTCTGCGAGAGGCAAGGCGTCGTCCCGGTCCCGGTCCCGGTCTTGGAGGTGCTGGAGTAGGGGCGCGAGGAGGCGGATGCGGCGCGCGAGGTCGCCGCAGAGGCGGCGCATGGGCCCGCGCGGCTCCGGGAGCGCAGCGATCTCCGCCGCCACACGCGCCGGCATGGCCGACGCCTCCGCCGCCGCCGCCGTGGTGGGAACTTAGGTGGTTGGCGGTGGATTAACGGCGGGAATTGAGCCGAGATCCGATCCGATGCAATTGCAGCTGGTCCCTCTCTCGCTCGTCTCTACGCGGTGGCCTGGTGGTTACCAATCCAAACCCAGCTGAAGGAGAGGGGAGAGCTGCTGGAGGAAGACGATGGAGACGACAAACAAGACAACCGAGGACTGAATTCATAACCAAATCAAACCATCTGACCAAGAAGTGGTCGGTCAACCGTGCATTTGATTTGCCTCATCTCGTTAATTTGGTATGGCAAAGAGCATCGGCTGAGTTTTTCCAAAATTTACTCTACAGTTACAGAGTTATTTGACGAAGGCCCCGTTCGCTTGACTTAAATTTAGTTTGTTCGGTTTATTTTTTCAGTCGGAATAGTGTTTTTCTCTCACAACAATTCAGCCGGAACAGTGTTTTTCAGCCAGTTTTAGCCAAAGTTCAGACCAGCGAACGGGGCCTAAAAATCATTATACACTCGAGAAGGCGATCCTCGCTCTCTACCTCTAGCTAACGAGAGATTAGAATAAATGATATTTATATTTAAAGATTTAATTGGAAAGAATTGTTCTAATCTATATATTATTTAACCTAACCTTAATCCATTTTTTCGTGTAACTGTGATGACTCATTAAAGATTTAAGAAGCAGACAACAGAACCCCTAAAATACTTAATACCATGGTGACATTTTTTTTAAAACAATATGACCATTCTCGGGTATGACAAACGATTACGATAAAAGCAATCTACTCAAAGTCAAAGTCGGTTTATACAGGAGAACACGGGCACTGAGTACAAAAAAAATATTGTTGTAAAAAAAGTGAGTTCTCCATTAAAAACCTAGGAACTCCTGTGCATTATACAAAGCTGAGAGGGGAGGATATTCAACTGACAAGAGAGGTGGGATGTTGTCATTTGCAGGCAGACTTAGGGCATGTTTGTTTCCAAGACCAGAGACTAGACAAAAAAAAAAATTAAATAACATGTTTGGTTTCAGGACTAAAAGGGACTAAAGGGCTGAATAAAAACTAAAATAACCTTCTTCTTCCTCAGGACAGAGGCCATGAGAGGGAGCTCGCTAGGCAGATGGAGCGCCTCGCCGGAGCTCGCCAGCTCGTCGGGGAAAGGGAGCGCTCGCCGGAGCTCGCCGGGGAGGACGGGTCGGGGCGCCTCGCTCATCGACGCTGGTGCCAGGCCACGGCGCAGCGGAAGCGCGGGGCGAACTCCGGCCAGGCCACCGCGTGACGGACGGGTCAGGGCGGGGCGACACATTGGGCGAGAGGAGAGAGCGAGGGAGGAGAGAAAGAGAGAAAAAAGGGGTGGGGACCAGCATCAAATGAGGGGCATGTGGTGTCAATTTGGCCCCATTAGTCCCAATAAGGCTCGCCCCAAGGGACTTTTGCAATTTAGTCCATAATCCCTGTTTTAGTCCCTAGTGTTTAGTTAAAATGGACTAAAATTTAGTCTTTAATCCCTCCTCTCATAAAAACAATCAGGGCCTTACCCTTTCTTAAATCTTGCCTATCTAATCTAATATTCCGTTTTATCTGCGGTCTATTATCAAGTTTCTAACATGGGCTATTCATGCTATAAATTTGTATAGATATCAAGTGATACTTGTGTTAAATTTCAGAGTCATTCCAAAGAAAGTCAGGGGCCTCTTTGATTCAAGAGACTAGAGACTAGAGACTAGAGCAGGGACTAAACGTAGCCCCCTACCATATTTGGTTTAAGTGACTAAAAGGGACTAAGGACCATTAAAGTTGTTGGACAATGACCAAAATACCTCTATTCAATGTTTTTGGATGGGTGGGAGGACAATAATTGAGGGGCATGGGCTATCCTTTTAGGCTAGAAGTCCCAAATAGCTCCTCTCAAGGGACTATTGGACTAGAGACTATTAGTCCCTCAAAAGTCCCTCCTGTTTGGGCTTGTTTGATTACAAGGGACTAGAGACCAGTGAGCTTATTTTAGTCCCTTCTAATCCCTAGTTTGCCAAACAGGAGGAATTTATGATGGATTAATAGTCTTTAGTCCAGTAGTCCCTCGAGGGGAGCTATTTATGACTTCTGGCTTAAAAGGACAGCCCATATCCCTCAATTATTATCCTCCCACCCATCCTAAAAGCATTGAATAGGAGTATCTTGGTCATTGTCCAACAACTTTAATGATCTTTTAGTCCTTTTTAGTCACTTGAACCAAATAGGGTAGGGACTAGAGTTTAATCTCTGCTCTAGTCTCTAGGTTCTTGAACCAAACATGCCCCTAATTTTCTTTGGAACGACTTTGAAATTTAACGCAAGTATCACTTGATGAACTGGCATTCAATTGTCCAAAAGAAATATGGCCCTGTTCGTTTCTCTTATAATTCATCTTTTTTAGCTTGTTTTTTCAGTCGAAACAGTGTTTTTCTCTCATAACAAATCATCCGAAACAGTATTTCGATTTGTTTTTTTCAGCGAAGCGAACGGAGGCAATTTGGTGGCTGGGGTCCTGGACCTTAGAGAATCTCAACATGTGTCTCTTACGTTCTTGATATTCATATACCACCTTTAATCTAATTCCTTATGGAAAAAGATTGATGACTTTAAGTATAAGACCAATCACAAAAATAGTAAAGTCTTTACGGCTTTACGCGCGGGAGGATTGGCTATTGTGGAACCACTGCGTGGCTTGGCGCCAGCTTGAGTGCTTGACTAATCCGTCTGCTGAATTTACGCGTGTGACCGACACAATCGCATGCACCTATTTTTCACGGCCGGCAATGAGAAGCAACTATATATTATTTGTCCGGCTCCTTTGGCTCAAATACTCTAAGGACTGTTTGATCTCTTTATTTTGGAAGAATTAAAATCTAATCTACTTAATGAATTACGCTATTTGGCTTAGAATTTGATATTTCATAACATTCCCAAGCTCATAAATAAGACTATCTCAAATTCATAGGGTAGGAGATAGAAATAGATTCTAAAGATCACTATGCTATAATTATATTCTCCAACTTATATCATATTCTTCAACTCACTTTTCTACAATAGAAATGTAACATATAAATATATCCCTTGCATGTCTAACAGTAAATATACAAATATATTCCATATATAACTATATTAGCTTAATTAATCTATGCCTAAATTATAATTATTAGAATGAATTAAATTCCAAGAATCCAAACGGGCCTAGACTATTTAATTGTATTGCTCAAATAATTATTAGCTAATTTTTTCACATCACAATACAAAGACAAGCCAAGCGAGTCTGTAGATGTTCTTTTAGAAATAAGCTTTATTACTATTACTAGTAAATATGTCCGTGCGTTGCAACGGGACTAAAATCTTTTATACTACCGGCAGCATGAGTGTGGACGGCAAAGCCATGCACTGCCACAGCGGCTACGACCAAGTGGCTTGAACCGACAACAAAATCCTCTCTTTCTCCTTTGCGTAGGGCTTCTCGGCCATTGTTGCGAGCTTTGCGCCCGCTCCCATGCATTATCCATGCTTGCTCCCGTGCGAGCCCACGCCTCCTCTCTGCTTCGAGCAGGAGGCCGCTCCTCCACTTGCCCGCGTGTGCGAGCATGCATAGCTTCGAGCCGCTGCCCGTGCCTGCTCTCGTACGCGTTGTTGACACCGAAATTTAGTTCAAGATGGGAAGTCCCCAAGGACAGGAATTATCAAGGAAAGCCAAAAATTTCAACAAGATCGGCGAACCAAGTTGCCATCAGGATGACGTCATCTTGTCAGGGGAATGGGCCCCATTGGAAAGAACGACAAGGCACAGAGCGAGAAGACACATCGGACTTCATAGATGGAAAAGATTGGAGTCCAAGTTATCTTAAATTAGAAAGTTTTGATTTTCTTTTCCAAGTTTGTAACTGGTCTTATTCGACCAAGACTCGTAGTCAAGCCTCAGGTATAAATATTGAACTCCGGCTATTGTAATAGACATATCGCATCGATCAATCAAATCAAGTACCTTTACTTTTCGGCGCAGGCCACCCCTTAGGAGTAGGAGTAGAGTAGATTTCGACGAGTTCTTTGGGCAAGCAGGGCTGCATCGGACGACCTGACCTCCGGCTTGTTTGTGAGTATCCGTCACGACTTATATTGTTACTTGCAAGGCTGCAACAGACGACTGATCTCTTGTGAGTCGCGGTATAAGTTAGTTATCGATCTATATTGTTATTTGTAAGACTGCAACAGATGACTGATCTCTTACAAATCGCGGTATAGATTAGTTATCGATTCGTATCAACCTTTGCAAGGCTACAACAGACAACTGATCTATTGTAAACGTTAGTATTAATCAAAATTATCGATATTGTGTTAAATAGTTTACTATTTAATATAATATCACAAATTACTCGATCTAGATTGAGATTCGTTGGTCTTATCTACTTTGATCTATCGTCTGCTAATTACTATCACAGTTGAATTCAATTTTTAACGTTAGATCCTGTTCTGATGACCAATCTATCTCAATCCTGATCGTACATGGTGGGTGTTTGAAGTCGTGTTCTATTAAGTGATGGATTCATTGTCGACAGAATATCGTCGGCAGTCCTCCAAGGGGTATCCCACGAAGGTAGATTGATCGGCAGAGATGCGTGTAATCGAGAACAAGAAGGGAATAGAGATACAAGAGTTAGACAGGTTCGGGCCGTTAGCACGACATAATACCCTACTCCTGTGGTCTATTGGATTGTATTGGCTTCGTATGATCTTGCCTGTGTTTTAAGGGGGTCCCTCGCCTTTATATAGTCTAGGGTAGGATTACAAGTTGGTTGGATCAAGGAGACAACCGAAAAGTAATAACAGATTATATGAATCATGGGATCGAACGTATCCTAACAGATCTCGTAGTATCTTCAGGATATCGCCCTTGATGTCTTGTGGTGCACGCCGAGCAGTGCCGTGCATCGTAGGTCTTCGTCTTGTGGGCTGGATCACC